ATCTGCAGAGCTCTGCTAAGAAATAGCGGAGCTCTGCAGATACACTTTTTGCCGGCTTGGAATTCTCCTTCTTCTCATCCTTCTTCTTCTCATCCTTCTTCTTCTTCTCATCCTTCTCCTTCTTCTCATCCTTCTTCTTCTTCTCATCCTTCTTCTTCTTCTCATCCTTCTCCTTCTTCTCATCCTTCTTCTTCTTCTCATCCTTCTCCTTCTTCTCATCCTTCTTCTTCTACTTCTCATCCTTCTTCTTCTTCTCATCCTTCTTCTTCTTCTCATCCTTCTCCTTCTTCTCATCCTTCTTCTTCTCATCCTTCTTCTTCTCATCCTTCTCCTTCTTCTCATCCTTCTTCTTCTCATCCTTCTCCTTCTTCTCATCCTTCTTCTCATCCTTCTCCTTCTTCTCATCCTTCTCCTTCTTCTCATCCTTCTTCTTCTCATCCTTCTCCTTCTCCTTCTTCTCATCCTTCTCCTTCTTCTCATCCTTCTCCTTCTCCTTCTTCTCATCCTTCTCCTTCTTCTCATCCTTCTCCTTCTCCTTCTCCTTCTCCTTCTCCTTCTTCTCATCCTTCTCCTTCTTCTCATCCTTCTCCTTCTTCTCATCCTTCTCCTTCTCCTTCTTCTCATCCTTCTCCTTCTTCTCATCCTTCTCCTTCTCCTTCTCCTTCCTCATCTCCAAGGGCATTTAAATTAAGGTACAGTGTTCTGCACTAATTTAAAGGCTCTCTGAAGCCTAGAAACCCTTTTTATAAGTTAAATTCGTAGCGAATAAATTCGCATCGAATCGAATTTCTCCCGCAAATTCGGCGAATCAGCCGAATCGAATTTTTGAATAATTCGCTCATCTCTATTTATGAGCACTATTTATTTGTACATTAGTATTGAATTATATTATTTTTTTTTATATGTTTAAATTTGTTCTGGTTTTGTGGCGGATCATGCAGATAACAATTTTTTAAGGGCAATTATTATTCATTTGTGTACTTGATATATGTTTGATGTGCTGCACTGTTTTGATTTATTTATATATTGGGTTTGTCACTCCTATTTTAGTGCAAGCGGCTCCAACTCTCTAACGCTCGCCATCTACTTCTGATATCTGATGTTTATTTCTTAGCACATGAGTTGCCACTTTTGAAGTCTGATAAATACTTGATTATATGCTGCAGTTAGATGGCGCTTTCCTTCTTCTCTTTCAAATTAAAGTCAAACTCCAACTAATACTTTTTAAGCAATTACAGAAACAACTTTTCTCCTTTAGGGTTTCACATAAATGCATGAAAGCTGACCATTGTAAGCCCCACTGTTAGAAGTAAATGGTTTGTCTCAACCTTCTAAATGCCACTTTTGCTGAACAGATTGGTCCGATAAAAGGACGTTGAAAAATAACAGATTTACTGGCAGGATCAACAGGTAATACAACTACGTTGGGGGAGGGGCTCAGAAAAACAAAGACTGCTGTGTAAATGCTATTGAGGCAGCATTATATACATTTCATTTTGCCCATGGTTCCACTTTACGGTGCATTTTTTTCAGCAAGAGGTGTGGAGAAATGTATTTTTTTCTTCATGCAATTTACATCTAGAAAGAAACACAGTAAATATGTCCCTGCTGACATAGTGATCACAAAGCTTTGTTAGAAAGCAAAGGGTTACACTTAATAATAGGATTAAAGTCAGATGGTCGACTCTGCCTCTAGCAATAAATGGTCAGTGGCATAGGGCCTTCCACTTACCTCTATGGAATTGATCCCTCACTGGCTCCCAGATGCTGCTGAATCTTGGTCACTAGCGTTGGCCCTGAAATCTTGCTGCCTCTGCTATTGAAGAAGTAATTCCATAGGGACAGATAGGCAGCCTCTTAGTGATCCTGCCATTGGTGATTTGCCACTAACAGCAGTATTGCCCATTTGATATCAGCCTTAGAATTAGAGCTGGCTTTATTTATCAACAAATCCATTGCTATAATTTTTTAACAGCTTTGTCCAACACAAGTTTTAGGAAAGCTCTCTTAAAATCTTTTATTTTGTATGCTGTATATCAAGGGGTTCAGTACAGGAGTGATTGCCATGTATCAGGGGCGGACTGACCATTTGGAAGCTCAGGGCCCAGGGTCAGTAGGGGGCCCCATGAGATGCCCCTGGTACCTTTTCATAGGCTTTTTTTGAGTTTGGACAAGGACACAGGGGCCCCATAATCCCTTATTGCCCGGGGGCCCCATGAGTTGTCAGTCCGCCCCTGCCGTGTACAGAACTGTGAGAATTTGTCTCAGCACTTTGTATTGGACTGACGCTGGCATCACATAGACGCCCATACCAGTGCCATAAAAGAGAGTCAGTATGCTAAGGTATGATGAGCAAGTGGAGAAGGTTTTTCCTTCCTTCTTCTGATTTGATGCTTAGAAGAACACCAACTATTTTTGATGTAAGAAAGTAAAATGCATATAAAAGGAGAGAGTCATAGAAGCAGCATTTCCAAGCATAATCCAATAGAAAATGCTTCTGTATTGCCACTCGAGATTGCTAGGAGAGATTTCCTATCACAGAAATATTGGGGAATTATATTGGAAGGGCATAAAGGCTAAAAGTGTGGTCAATGTTGAGTTTAAACTCCCCAAGAGCCATATAGCTGCTGTGATCTGTCTGCAACGATTGTGGTTGAAGACACAATTATAATGTAAGGGTTGACAAATGGCAATATATGGATCATAAGCCATTGTGAATAATAGAAGGACTTCTGTGCTGGCTGCTGCACAAAAAAAACCCAACTGGAGGAAGCATTGTGAGTAGGAGATGGTGTAATTCTCAGTCAATATCATATGCAGTGGTTTTGGGTTTGTTGAGGTTGTGTAACACTGATCTACCAAAGACAAATTACACAGAAAAAGATACATTGGGGTATGGAGATGGTAATCTTTGCATATTACCAGGATTGGAGAAGAATTCAATAACAGACACCATAAAGGAAAAAGAGAACACAAAAAACTTGCCTGAGGTTGTGGAAGAAGTGACAATAAGTGGAACATTAGAGAAGATGTCTCATTTTTCATTTCCAAGTTCTCAGCTTTCCATTATCAGAGGAAACAAAGTAAAAACAGGTTTATCAAATAATTGATAGAATTTTAAGAAAGAGAGAAAAAACTACAAGTCCAAGGTAATCCATGCTCACCTCTGCAAAAATAAACAAGCAACATGCCCATTTGAAGACACCCCCCTTAAGGTATTTAAAGGTTGCATTTGTTTATCAATGATAGGCTGTGAGTTGTTACAAACCTTGGAGGGCATTTGGCAATAATAAATTAAGACATGGATTCCACACCGTAGGTTATAAGTCGCTCTCCCCTGAAACATTACTTGCCATGGCAAGCTCTCTGAAGAACTTATAACACGCCCAATTTTTGGAAGTTTTCTGTTGTTTAGGTTGACGTTTTGATGAAGAAATGCAGTTGCCGCCCAGCCTATAGCCAGATGGTGGCTGGGTGAACAGCTCGTCCCTCCGAGTGGATATGGCATCCTTGCCCGAAAGCACATTGCGCATGCCCGCAGGGCTGTGCTGTGGTGAGACCTGTCACCGGCCATATGCCTCGGACACGGCCGATGACAGATCTATGTACCGACCCCGTTGCCAGTACCATGTGACCTGCTGTGACCAATCACAGCAGGTCACATGACAGTTGTATACAATGGATGGCTTGCTTTCATGCCATCCATTGTATACAAGTGTGTCTAAATTTTTTTTTATTTTTAACCCCTTATGCCCACAACAAATCTTAGGACCGCCGTCTTAACATCTTTGTTTTGTAAGCAGTATATCAAGGGATTCATAACGGGCGTGACTGCTGTGTACAGAACCGTGAGCACCTGTTCCATCACTTTGTAGTGAAGTGAACGTGGCATGATGTACACACCTACACTTGTGCCATAAAAGAGAATCAGCACGGTAAGGTGCGATGAGCAAGTAGAAAAGGCTTTTCTTCTTCCTTCGTTTGATTTGATATTTAGGATAACACAAACTATTCTGATGTATGACAACATAATACATGTAAATGGACAAAGTGCAAACAGCAATATTTCAAAATATATTTCCATAAAAAACAGCTCTGTATTTGCACATAAGATCTTCATGATAGATTTGGCATCACATAAGTATTGGGGAATTATACTGGAAGGACAAAAATGTATTTTAGATGCTGAAAGTGTGGTCATTATTGAGTTTGAACACCCTAAAAGCCATATAGCTGCGGTGATCTGTATGCAGTGGTTGCGGTTGAAGACCTGGTGGTAATGTAAGGGTTGACAAATGGCAACATAACGGTCGTATGCCATTATGAATAACAGAAGATCTTCTATACTGCCAGCCGCCCAATAAAAACCCAACTGGATGAAGCATTGTTTGAACGAGATGGAGTAATTCTCGGTCAATATCATATTCAGAAGTTTCGGGCTAGTTGATGTTATGTAACAGAGGTCTACAAGAGACAAATTACAGAGAAAAAGATACATCGGGGTATGGAGATGATTATCAAAACATATTATGAGGATTATAAAGGAATTCACAAGCATACCTGTTAGATATATTAAAAGGAACAAAGCAAATAAAAAAGGCTTGTCTGCTTTGCTGGTAGAAAGTGGCAATAAGTGAAACACTTGAGGAGATGTTTCATTTTCCAGAAAGTCCAAGCCTTCCATTCTATAAGGGAAAAAACTAATTTTAAAACATATAATTGATCAAATTCTAAAGCAGGTGACATCATAGCAATACCCAAATATTTTACACTCACTTTCCCACATTCTAAGCTTACATTGAGGTTGTATACTCTTCTCAGTGGTGATATTCATTTAGGCTCCGTTGCTTACAAAGCTTGGAACATGTTTTTCTCTAGTGAATTAAAACATGGACTCCATTCCTAATCAAACATACAGTATTTGTGCATGTTATTGTAAAGAGGGTCACACACCTTCGAAACACTGATTGACTTGGTACATCTTTCAAGGAGAGAAGACAGCAGTGTTTGGTAGAAAAACGACCAATTTTTGTAGTTTTGAAACCTTTAAATAAATAAATTTTTAACCTTGATAAAGGTGGTAAAGGGCTATCTGCACATACACCCATCATGATTCTGTAAATACTTGTTCAATAAACAAGGGGGTAACTGTGTCCAACCTAGGGAAGGACTGTTAGCCACACAATTTTCAACACTAGCTTCTTATCAAGAACACATACGTAGGATCAGTGTATCTAAGCAAAAGTATTTTAAGTTATTCTTGACATATTGGCCCTTGTCGGTCATGGTGCAGGAATTGTTCATTTTAGCACAGATGTTTGTTTAGGACTATGCCAACAGTTTTGGTATCTATGAGGCAAGCATGAATCTCTCAGGCCCAGGTCTAGGGGGGTGCTGGGGTTTGCTATGACCCCTCCAAGGATTTCTTTTGTCTGCCCCCCCCCAGATCCATGAGACTTGATGAGGGACAGTTGATGTAAGGGGGACTCTGATGGGGGACAGTTGATGTTAGGGGGCGCTCTGATGGGGACAGTTGATGTAAGGGGGACTCTGATGGGGGACAGTTGATGTAAGGGGGACTCTGATGGGGACAGTTGATGTAAGGGGGACTCTGATGGGGGACAGTTGATGTAAAAGGGCACTCTGATGGGGAGAGTTGATGTAAGGGGGACTCTGATGGGGGACAGTTGATGTAAAAGGGCACTCTGTTGGGGACAGTTGATGTAAGGGGGCGCTCTGATGAGGGACAGTTGATGTAAAAGGGCACTCTGATGGGGACAGTTGATGTAAGGGGGCACTTTGAGGGGAAGAATTGATATAAGGGTGCACTCTGATGTGGATATTTTATGTAAGGGGCTCTCTTATGAGGACACTTGATGTAATGGGGGGAAACTTATAGGAACCCCAATATAAGGGGGAAATCTGAGGATAACTCCTGATGTAAGGAGGGACTCTGATAGGGACACCTGATATAAAGGGCACAGGTTCTGTTTAGTCATCCTATTACATACTAGTGCTCTCTGTTCACTCCTGCACCTCCTCTGCACTACCTGTCAGATGTTACTCCGGGGTTGCGACTTTGTGGTACAGAAGCTTGCTGAGTGAATAGGGAATACTGATTCTCTATCACACTGATCATCTCTGTCACACTATTGACATTATGCCCCCTGGCCTTTTTTTTTACTGTACTCCTAGCCCAGGGGTGGGCAAACTTTTTGACTTGAGGGCCGCAATGGGTTCATATATTGGACCCGGGGGCCGGACCAAGAGTAGATGAATGTACCATCCCCCATAGTAATTCATCCCCCATAGTAATTCATCCCCCATATAGTAATTCATCCCCCCTATAGTAATTCATTCCCCATATTAATTCATCCCCCCATATTAATTCATCCTCCATATAGTAATTCATCCCCCATAGTAATTCATCCCCCATAGTAATTCATCCCCCATATAGTAATTCATCCCCCATATAGTAATTCATCCCCCATAGTAATTCATCCCCCATAGTAATTAATCCCCCATAGTAATTAATCCCCCATATAGTAATTCATCCCCCATAGTAATTAATCCCCCATATAGTAATTCATCCCCCATATAGTAATTCATCCCCCATAGTAATTAATCCCCCATATAGTAATTCATCCCCCATATAGTAATTCATCCCCCATAGTAATTCATCCCCCATATAGTAATTCATCCCCCATATAGTTATTAATCCCCCCTATAGTAATTCATCGCCCCTATAGTAATTCATTCCCCATATTAATTCATCCCTCATATAGTATTTCATCCCCCACAGTACTATTCCCCCCCAAGTAGTAAGCCAAGTCCCCCCTGTGTCAATTCACTTACCTTTGCTCCGTGCGTTCCTCTCGCCGTGTTCCCGCGCCGTTCCGGTCTTCAGGGCGGACTGTGAGAGGAGCCTAGCTCCCCTCACGTTCGTCACGCTACCCCGCCTACACACATCCTGACAGCCAATGTTTGCCTGCCCTGGCTGTGTTTTTTTTTATCACGCTCCTCGGGCCGGATTAAAAGGTCCGCCGGGCCGTATACGGCCCGCGGGCCGTAGTTTGCCCATTGCTGTCCTAGATCATATCTAGATCTAGGCTAGATTTTGCCCTGCTTCCAATGAACCTTTGTATTCTGACAGCAGGGTGACTTCCATTCCATCAGAATAAACTGGCCAGCACCACCGGCTATACCACCCTTGTTGAACCTGCCAAATTTTTATCCAGGTATGGCCAGCCTTTAGTCTTTTTTCCCAATGACCTTTTACATACGGATCCAGAGATCTGATACAGACACATTTTTGGATACTGTGCTGCTAAAGGGAAAATCTCTTTAATTTGTTGATCAACAGACAGTTGTATTTCTGTCCTGTCAGTAATCTGTGTGTTCTTTATGCTAGCTTTAAAATTTAGAAGGACTCTGCTAGACCACCTCAGAGAACCACCATTTCAACCATGTATAGTATATAATTCATTTACTTGAAACTCATGGTGCATGGTGTCTCCATACTTTTTTTTTTAAACTTCTCTTTATTAAGGTATATAAAATGTAAGTGATTTTAAAAAAAGTGCCCATTGGGCATTTCTGGGCCCAAAGAGTACATATTAACGTAAACCACAGTTATAGTAGACAACTAAAACAGCAAACATCTCCTCACTCAAAGAAATCTTGACAAGGAGAAGTACAGCAGGGGACACAGCATGAAGAAGTCTCGCGGGGCAAGTAAACTAGCTGGTGTAAAAATATGGAATAACCCAACCAGGGTAATGATCCCCTCAGATTAAGATAAGGAAAAGGACAACAACATGACAGCAGACATTAAAAAAGATAAACCGTGAGAAATTACATCTCAGTATAGGAGTCAGTTGTGTAGAACAAGAAAAGGCCCAGTAGGGTCCTGGTTGCCCTGGAATTAGCTAGGGGTGCTAACAAACTTAATAGGCAAACTCGAGGTTGCAAAATAACAGAAATAGTGGTAATGCAGGTAATAAAATGAACTACAGCTGTCCAATATTGGCAGAGATAAGGACAAGTCCTTAGCATATGTACAGTATGTAGTCAGCTTACTCTCTCCATCATCGCCAGCAGGTAGAGGAAACACTCAAATAAATTCTATGAAATCTCAGTGGCGTGAGATAAATTCTATGTAAAATGTTGAACTGAATCAATTGATCCCTTGTCGATACCAGCTAAAGGAAGGGGTACTCCCAAACCTTCTTCCAGTCTTCATCATCCAGGTTCTATACCTCCTTCAGGGTCTCTAAGCCTTTATGTAAAGAAGGCCAGAGGACCCTGTAGATATTTGAGAGTGGTTTAGTGAGATCAGGGTCTGTCAGCAGCTGCTCTATGGGGGAAGTATAAAAGGATCAACAGAGAGGCTTCAAACTCATGTTACTAGGCATAATGGAGCTGTAGGTACCTGAACAAATGAGAGTTATGTAAATTAAACTGTACTTTCAAGCATGCAAAAGATTTCAAAGTGGTCCCATTACAAATGTGCTTCAGAATCTTGATACCCCTAACAGCCCAAATGGAGGGGCCTGGCACAGTCAGAAATTCAGATAACATGGGATGCCATGTGTAACAGGGGATCAAGTCACATTATCCATTCATTTTGTATTAGTTAATAGCCAGGCTATAACCTCCACCTTCAAAGAATGGGTGAAGGAGTGAGAAGACTTAAGGCCTCTATATGGAAGATGACGAATGGCCCCATAAGAGCCAAGGGAAAATGCTTCCAGCACTACCGCTGCATTGGAATTATTTGAGATCAGCTAACTGTGGGCATGTTACATTAGGCTGCTAAGTAGTATGAGTACAAATCAGGACAGGCCCCCTTGAGTCCATGGCCTACAAAGAGTCACTAAGTGAAATCTAGGAGGATACATTCCTCAAAGCAAAGTGGAATAAGTGAAAGCTAAGTTCTTGGAAAACAGATTTTGGGATCCAAACCGGGGATTAGTGAAGGACATGCAAGAGGCCTGGCAGGATTTTCATTTTGAAAAAAATGACAATATAGGATCTCAATCCATTTTCGGAAAATATGGCGGAACCCTGTCAGAACTGAGTTCATGTATTGCCAAGAAATAGACTCAAATGCCTTCTCTATATCTAGTGCAACCTGAACCCTAGCATCCACCTGTGGTTGAAGGAAAGTAAATTGCATAATGTATGGCTTGCTTAATGGACTACGCAGTCCTATTTTGACCAGCACAACTGCTGTAACAGGGAAGTGAGTGTAAGGCATAGATATATCACCTTTTTGGATCAGCCAGCGAGGTGGACAGAGGATTCCTCCCTACTGTGCTATTGTATTCTGACAGGGAGACTCCTCCACTGTAAGAATACAGTACATCGATCATTGCTGCATCTGATTTACTATAGAATATAATGGATGTGTTAACTGGGTGAAATGTACTGAGAATGTCATGAAATTAAATCTTAGATAAACGATTTGAATAACGGAAGATGTGTTAGTAATATGGATTGTTGAATGGGAAGAGGGTATAAAGGTGTGACTCCATTAGTGCTACAATAGGCAGATTTAATGCAAAAGAGAAGAATGAAGAAAGAACTAAAGATACATAAGTAAAAGTTGGGTTGACACGGGCATGAAGGAAAGGATAAAACCTCAAGCAGAACTGGGTGAGGCAAGTAGTTCCAAAACATGGTTGGGAAGGCTAGTTGAGTAATGGGATCAAACTAGATGTCAAACTAGAGGTTAAATGAAGCAGGTATGACTTTCCCTGTGTATACTGGATGTGTTGATGTACATGTCTCATATATATATATACATTTTTTTATCACATGTATTGCAAACTAACAATTCGGTTGGGTAGATGGAGTCACTTTGACTGTAAGGAATAGCTCTCACCCAGAGGTGGCATATATGTTCACATAGCATAGGGTAGAGACTCTCTGACACAGCAGCTCTTACCTTGAAATGAATTGGGCACTTGTAAAATAGATGCATAAGCCAATTGGCAGAAAACTACAGTAATCCAAGCTTTAAATAATATTTTCTAGGCTCACGCAGTCATGGAGACACAATCTAGAGGGAAATTTGCTCATTAAGAGAATAGAATCATCTCTTGTATTATCCTGAAGGAGTTAGATTATTTTTATGCCAGAAGGTCACTAGAGTTTACTAGCAATCAAAATGCTGATCAAGGAAAAAAAAAGAAAGGAATAAAGCTTTCCAAATCTTCATGTGATATTTTGGATGGACTTAATATTTTCATTGATGGGTTCAGTCATATAGACAACACAGAAGAGGAAAGGAAGAAAGACTGCATGCATGTATCCCAAGTCCTACAAATGCAGCCAGGAAACTGGATGAATCTGCATATCAGACAGATCTACAGCAAGGCTTAGGTACAGCAGCAGGAGCCATTGGCTCCCAATGCTGTCAATCAGAGCCAGTGACGAGGAGTGGGGAGTGGACACACAGAGCAGGGCTCAGGAACAAGCATGCATGAGTGCCCCCCAGAGCATGTGGATTGCTCAGGACCCCTTGGCTCTTTTGGGAACCTAATTTCCTGCCTTTTCCCTGGAATCTCATCACCATATCTTTATCCAACTGCTGTCGTCCCCGCAGTCTGCGTACCTGTGCACTTCTCACTACCCCTGTGGTATTGCACCTTTAATACTACTTGGGCTACTACTGTTCCCTAGACCACCCTAGGGTGTGAAATGCAACCAGATGTACCTACTTAATAAATAAAGAAGAATTAATTGGGAAGGATGAACGTAAGTAAATGAAACAATATATGTAAAAGGGGCAAATAAACAACTGTCTATAAAGGAGTTAATATTCAGCTACTCTATGAACAGTCTGCAAAAGTCCATATAAAAAGCCATTATGCACTCGAATAGGTAGCTCCACCAGAAACGGAAATTAATCTCTAAAAAATAACCAGAAATACACAAGGAAACGCCTCTAAGTGCAGTGTTGGTATAGGCCTTTAATAGTAACGCCAAATGAACACTCACATGGAATAGTATGCCATGCGTTAATTAGTAGAACTCTATGAATAGCAAAAACCAATCCCCCCAAGAGACAATTCTCAGTCAATCTTTGGGATTTTTTTGGAACTTTCAATTGTTTTGGAACTTTTACATGTTTGCACATTATTGGGACATACAGTGGGGCAAAAAAGTATTTAGTCAGCCACCAATTGTGCAAGTTCTCCCACTTATAAAGATGAGAGAGGCCTGTAATTGGCATCATAGGTAGACCTCAACTATGAGAGACAAAATGAGAAAAAAAATCCAGACATTCACATTGGCTGATTTGGAAAGAATTTATTTGCAAATTATGGTGCAAAATAAGTATTTGGTCAATATGAAAAGTTCATCTCAATACTTTGTTATATATCCTTTGTTGGCAATGACAGAGGTCAAACGTTTCCTGTAAGTCTTCACAAGGTTGGCACACACTGTTGCTGGTATGTTGGCCCATCCTCCATGCAGATCTCCTCTAGAGCAGTGATGTTTTGGGGCTGTCGCTGGGCAACACGGACTTTCAACTCCCTCCAAAGGTTTTCTATGGGGTTGAGATTTGGAGACTGGCTAGGCCACTCCAGGACCTTGAAATGCTTCTTACGAAGCCACTCCTTCGTTGCCCGGGTGGTATGTTTGGGATCATTGTCATGTTGGAAGACCCAGCCACGTTTCATCTTCAATGCCCTTGCTGATGGAAGGAGGTTTGCACTCAAAATCTTCTCACAATACATTGGCCCATTCATTCTGTCCTGTACATGGATCAGTTGTCCTGGTCCCTTTGTGGAGAAACAGCCCCAAAGCATGATGTTACCACCCCATGCTTCACAGTAGGTATGGTGTTCTTTGGATGCAACTCAGCATTTTCTCTCCTCCAAACACGATGAGTTGTGTTTCTACCAAACAGTTTCTATTTTGGTTTCATCTGACCATATGACATTCTCCCAATCCTCTTCTGGATCATCCAAATGCTCTCTAGCAAACTTCAGACGGGCCCGGACATGTACTGGCTTAAGCAGGGGGACACGTCTGGCACTGCAGGATCTGAGTCCCTGGCGGCGTAGTGTGTTACTGATGGTAGCCTTTGTTACGTTGGTCCCAGCTCTCTGCAGGTTATTCACTAGGTCCCCCGTGTGGTCCTGGGATTTTTTCTCACCATTCTTGTGATCATTTTGACCCTACGGGGTGAGATCTTGCGTGGAGCCCCAGATCGAGGGAGATTATCAGTGGCCTTGTATGTCTTCCATTTTCTAATTATTGCTCCCACAGTTGATTTGTTCACACCAAGCTGCTTGCCTATTGCAGATTCAGTCTTCCCAGCCTGGTGCAGGTCTACAATTTTGTTTCTGGTGTCCTTCGACAGCTCTTTGTTCTTCACCATAGTGGAGTTTGGAGTGTGACTGTTTGAACTTGTTATCAGTATAAAAGACACCTGTCCACAACCTCAAACAGGTGCCATTGATACAGGTAATGAGTGCAGGACAAAGGAGCCTCTTAAAGAAGAAGGTACAGGTCTGTGAGAGCCAGAAATCTTGCTTGTTTGTAGGTGACCAAATACTTATTTTCCACCATAATGTGCAAATAAATTCTTTCCAAATCAGCCAATGTGATTGTCTGGATTTTTTTCTCATTTTGTCTCTCATAGCTGAGGTCTACCTATGATGCCAATTACAGGCCTCTCTCATCTTTTTAAGTGGGAGAACTTGTACAATTGGTGGCTGACTAAATACTTTTTTGCCCCACTGTATATATATATATATATAGTTTCATACAATTTCACCGTATACACAGTTTCATGGCATTGTATATGTGCTATTTTTAGCACTATTGTCGTTTAAGCACCTTATTTATTGGTTATTGGTTGCTTATTGCTTATTATTGCTTATTGGTTTATTTAGGATTTAGTCACTGGGGAGGAGGGATATAATTGCGAGCTCACGGGGCATTATAGCACATGCACATTTGTGGGGACTCTTTGTGTAGCAGGGATTTCATTCATTTATTTATTAATTATTTAAAGTAGTTTTTGGGAGAGGCAGCACAGCAATTTTTATGTTTGCACTCACACATTTGTTCAGCGGTACACATTTGTGATTTTGCTAGCAGCAGCCAGTCTAATTGATAACTCCTCTGTGCATGTTATACTCACACGTTAAATACATGTACCTCTACTATGGGGGCTCTTAAAATTTGTAGAGTTCGGTACTACAGAATATCGGGGTGACGAGGCTCTGTAGCATGTATTTGAAAATGTGTGCTAACTAAACGCCTATTTTTAGCACATACTGCTAGACAGGTAATTCGGTTTGTTAGCAGGCTGGCTGGAAAGTGTGAGCTTGGAAGTTTTCTTTTCCGTTGTTTGACAATATTCCTGCCTACTGCCTGGACAATTCCTTAGGCTGTGCTGACCGTGTCTCTGCCTGCTGCCTGGACCAAAGCTCTCCTCTGCTGACAGTGGCACTACTAAACCACAGTTAATCTTTTGTTCACCCTTTGTTCAGCCTCCCATACTTCCTGGCCAGTGAACATAGCATTGTGCTTTGAAGGCAGCCATGTACTTGCTTGGCTTTTAGGAACAGGAACTGCTGTAGGTGAAGCTACACTATGTTAAATTCACTGACCACTCTTACAGAGTTGACCATTACAGTACATTGTTTTTTACACAGTGTTAGTTGTTTTTCTGTGTTTCACAGGTTGGAAATTTGGGTACATTCTGTAATCAGTCCAGACATTGAAAAGGTCTCACACATGTGGCATCCCCATATTCAGGAGGACTTGCAGAATGTATTTGTGGGGCATAGTTCTAAGTATGTCCATGCTGTTTGTTAGAAATATCTTTATAGATTGAAAATACATCTTCATTTTCTATCCACATTGTCCAAACATATGATACGTTCAGGATTCATTATGCCTCACAGAAAATATGATGTGTTTGCTTTCCAAAGTGTGGTAATTTTGTGGGTGTTTCCACTGTTCTGGTGCTTCAGGGCTTCCAAAATTGTGATAGTAGGTAGTTAGGAAATAATATGTGCAATTTATGCCCCTAGAACACATAAAGGTGTTCCTTGGATTTTGGGCCCCTCTATGTGGTTAGGCTGTGGAAAAGTCTCACACATGTGGTATCGCCATTTAAGGAGGAGTAGAATGCATTTTGGGGTGTAATTCTTGCTATGTTCATACTGTGTGTTAGAAATATCTAGTAAATTGACCACTTTGTGTAAAAAAAAACTTTTTAATTTTCTTTCCACATTTTCCAAAAACTTGTGGAAAACAATGGCATGTTCAAAAAACTCATTATTCCTCATAAGAAATATGTTGGGGTGTTTGCTTTCCAAAATGTGGTAATTTTGTAGGTGTTTCCATTGTCCTGGTGCTCCAGGGCCTCCGACATTGTGATAGGTAGTCAGGACATTTTAAACTTTATTTTTAATTTGATAACTTTACCAAGGCCCTTTTGATTTCCTTGTTTGGTAGACTGTAAATTAGAGGGTTTATCACCGGTACAACTGCTGTAAACAAAACGCTCAATGCTTGTTCTAGATCAACAAGGTAGCTTGCTTGTGGCATCATATACATGGATAAAACTGTCCCATAAAAGACACTGATGACAGTGAGGTGAGATGAGCACGTGTTAAAGGTTTTCCGTCTTCCTTCTTTAGAGTTTATATGTAAAATAACACGGATAATTTTCATGTAAGAGATGATGGTGCATAAGAATGGACAAAGGCCAAATACTAACAATTCAATACAGAGTGCTATGTATAACAATTCAGTGCCCGTACAAGATATTTCTAGGAGGGCCTTGGCATCACAGAAGTATTGTTCAACTCTGGCTGATTTACAGAAGGATATTTTTGAGATTGCTGTGGTGAACAATAAAGAGTTGAAGCATCCAGAAACCCAAATGGCAGCAATGAGTTTGACGCAGTTCTTCCCACTGAACACAGAATGATAATGTAAGGGCTTACAAATAGCAATGTATCGATCGTACGCCATGGTGAAGAGAAGGATGTCTTCTGTGCTGGCACACTCCCCATAGAAGTACAGTTGGGTGAAGCACTGGTTGAAGGACACTGTATTGTGGTCATACAGTAACATGTCAAGAAGTTTGGGGACATTGACAGAGGTGTAAAAAATATCTAAAGCAGACAAGTTACAAAGAAATAGGTATAAAGGAGAGTGTAGATGCCGGCTGTGATAAATAACCATAATAATGGTAGAATTCAACAGGACACCAGTGAGGTATAACAAAGAAAACACAATAAAAAATATGACTCTGTTTTTAGATACAGAGGGGAAAAAGAGAAGATGGAATTCTTTAGGTGATGTGTAATTTTCCATTGACTGTTGTTTTCTGGATTATAATTCTGATGTAGGGAATTCCTGGCCTGATGATATAAAGAACACAGAGACTATCAGATAACAAAAAATAGAAAAAAAACCCAAAAATTAATTCTTGATTCTTGGGAAGAAAGTCAACTTTCTTCCAGAATACTGGTGGATAACATTTAAATTTTATTCACCAATACAATATATCTTTCCAAATTCAAATTCAGATTCCTTTTACCTTTGTACCCTATCCTTCCTCTGGAAACATTCACTTCAGGTGGAAATGACCTCTCAGACTGCTCCTTTCTTTTTCTCCAGTCCAAAGTGTCATCATGTGTCACACCATGCTGGGGTGTCTTTACTTTATCCTCTATGGGTTTACCAAATCATGTGACTTTCATCTGTCTTATGTTTTCAACCTCATTTACATGACCTCTGCAGACTGTACACTATGAATGGATTGATTAATTGTGGCTTGAGCTGTCAGGTGCTGTGTACATAGGCACACTGTGTGCTTTTGAGACGCTAGCCCATACCAGCAAGTCTGTTAAGTTAGGATGAGCAGCTGTGTAGTAGTAGTAGAATGCTACTTTAGTAAATAGAAGCTGTTCAATCTGCATACCCAAACACGTGCGGAGGAATGAACAAACAAAAAAAGTGCTTTTCTTAGCGTTTTTGTATTAGCTTTTAGTGGCATTTTGCCGTGTTTAGCAGCATTTTCCCGTGTTTTTTTTTTTGTGTTTGTATTTTTAGCGTTTTTTGGCATTATTTTACCAAAAAAAATACATTTTTTTTGGTCAAAAAAAGTAACAAAATGCCAGTTTGTGGTGTTTTTACCGCATTTTGCCGTGTGTTTCAGCGTTAGAGCATTTTAACAGCTAAAGAACTCCTCTAGACACCCACTAGTCCTGGATTTTTTTTCCAGCCAAAAAACGTTGATTCCAGTCTATGTGTGTATGGACACATAGGATAACATGCTGGGGGGTTTACTGGCTGTAGAAAAAAATGTCAAAAGCCAAAAACAGCCGCTGTAAAAATGTCCCGTGTGCATGAGGACTGATATTCCATTACATCATTTTCATAAAACTGCTGCCTGACCTCTTCTGGACTCACAGTCCCATGGGCTGTACTGTGGCCGTGTATAATGACTTACCACGAGGGCAATAGATGGTGAAGTGTAAAGCAGCATGAAATGTCAATACAGGTACGGGGATGAAAATTTATACTGTTCAAACAATGTCATAATTAAAAAAATGGCTTGAGGGAAATAAAATGCCCTCGGCTCACCTTTTCACTTAGAGATACATCAGGGATCAGGCAGCAGTATTCCTTTATGTAGTAGTAATTCTTGTTTTAGAAAAGCTTTTGCTTTGCTGCTTTTTCTGAAACTTTGCATCATCAACCCCTAAAATGGAACTTCACTCTCTCAATCAACATTAACTATTTTTATTCATGCTGTTAGCATTAATAAAGAGCTAGGAAGGATTATTATATTTACTTGTTTTTTTTAACTTTTTTTTTTTTTTTTTAAGTCACCATCATGCCTCTCCACGCATTCATTTAGACCAGGGGTAGGCAACCTGCGGCTCTCCAGCTGTTGCAGGACTACACGTTCCATCATGCCTTTGCAAGTCATAGCTGTAACTGTCAATTTTGCAATGTCTCATGGGAAATGTAGTTCCACAACAGCTAGAGAGCCGCAGGTTGCCTATCCCTGATTTTGACAATGCAAAACAATTTCTGATTGGTGCCTATGCTGAGCAACCTACCTTCTCTGTTCAGTAAGTAGGAGTGCAGCCTGTACTGCCTTCAGCAAGTAAAATCATTATGCAACATTACATTTGGCTACTAGATGGAGCCCAGAATATATTTACTGTTTTACAGAAACTAGAGACTGTTTGGCCTTAATAAAAAAAAACAAACCCATTCTAAGATAACAGGTGTATCCTGGGAGTTCGTACTCCATTTTAAGAACTGAGGGAAAGGAACCAGCCATAATCCTCTGCAGCACATGTAATGGACTGAACTTACATCCTTCACAGGCAGCATCGCTGGTGAGCATGGACTTATTCTCATCTACAGCCTAATTAGCTTATTGCGTTTGTATGTTCATACATTGATTGTATGTATTTCTTTTTTTCAATAGTTTCGCTCCACCCTGTTTTGTTAATAAAGCTTCAAGATTACATTCAGTCTGGCTTATTGCAGAATAGGAGGGTTTAGCTACATGTCGAGTTACACAGAAGGACAGGTGTAGTGAGGACAGAACACAGCCGCTAGGCGCAGGACCTAGAAGTAAATGGAGATCAGTGAAGTAGCGGCAGTGGCAGAACAACCAGGGTTGCAAAGGATGCACTTGCAAATGGGCCCTGGCATTCCACCACTGCTGGGGGGGCACAAGATGCAGGGCAAAAGCTAGGGGGAGGTATGGGGAACATGTGCCCTGGGCGCTGCACTAAGAGGGGCACCGCTGTCTCCATGATTCAGGGGATTCATGTGGCCTCCCTGAGCCAGCGCCAGACGGAGTCCTCTCTTAGAGCAGATGAGGGTCTCCCATCTCCGCTCCATTCCAATCCTCATTACCTCCTTTATGATCAGAGAATGGCTCTAGGTGCAATCCCCAGGGAAACATAATCGCCCTCTCCATCCATCCCGGCACCCTGACTCCGCCCGCAGAGATGGGTGCAGAGTGACCCAGCTGGGTGATTGCTGATGTGAAGAACCATCTTCATCCTCCTCTATCTAAAATTCTGACTGGACACCCTCCCTGGGACCCCTCCTGCTTACCCTGGGCTCCACCAGGTGAGCGCTACTGCATCACATCGCTTCATGTGAGTCCAGGGCTGGGGGGAAGGAATTGGGAGGGTGAAAATCTGATGACAACCTAAAGTAATGGGCATACGGAGAGAACTGTTAGAAGAAAGAGGGTGAGAATGACCATGCTTGAACGCTCTCCAATCCCAGAGGACACCATTTGTGGAGAAATTCATCGGGTGGAGCTTTCTGTGACGTCACCACGTTCCGGCTGGTGGTCTGACACCACAGGAATCCTACATTTGTATACTGCCTTTATGCAGCTTATCTATGTTAGTTTATAGGGTTGCACTATGACATTTTCTTCTTCTGTTTTAAACCTTTCCTTACATGGTGTGGAGAGCTGTCTGATGTGATGAATCCGTCAAGGTGAACCTGCAGTTGTTCATTCATCTCCTTGATACTGCTAACATGGGTGTCAGTGTTGGACCTGAACACCATCTGCTCGTTTGATCTCTTGATTGAAGATCAATGTGTCTGGTAAGAGGCTGATTTTTCTGTTGTGACAAGCACTTGTGGACACCTATGCACTTTTGTTGGAAGATTTTTCATCCCACAGCACTGCGTTACTAGATTTAGGACTTTTTTGTTTATTCACTTTATGAATTTGGACTTTTTATAGCACTTTAATAATATATTTTTTGTCTTATTATTATTTATTTATTTATTTATATTTTGTGGATATATTGGGTTTCGATTTTGCATTTGATTGTTTAGTGTACAGCGCACTCACTTTATATATGCTTGAAAGCTACCTGCCATGACCTCGGCTTGTCCCTGTAATCTGCTCTTGGCTTCTGTCTTTGCCTGATCTGCGTCAACATTGTTGATCTCAGCCTGGGTCCTGACCATTTTCTGACTGCTGTTTATGCCTGATCTGACTGTCTACCACCAACCCAGTGTGCCTGTCCCTGTATCCTGCTCATCCAGTCTGCCACAGCACCTCCTGACCAGTATGCTCTCACCTGGTCCCTGCCCGCTTGCTCAAGCACCAGCATCCTGTTGTTAAGCACCTGCCAGTCTGCTATCGGCCAGCTCTAGATCCTCTGCATCTGTCTGCTGGCAACTGCCTCTGTCTCCTGGCCAGGGGCAGACTGACAACTCATGGGGCCCCCGGGCAATAGGGGATCATGGAGCCCCTGTGTCCTCGCTCACACTCAAAGCACACCCAAAAAAGCCTTTAAAAGGTACCAGGGGCATTTCATGGGGCCTCCTACTGACCCCGGGCCCTCGGGCAGTGCCCGAGTGTTCGAATGGTCAGTCCACCCCTGCTCCTGGCTCATTCTCGGTGGAGTACTAGCTACTTACCTGCACAGACTACAGGAATTACTACAGGCACTCATACCTCACCATGCTCTTGCAGGCTGTAAGGGAATCCCCGTGAGACGGCTGGTGAATAGACGTGCACATGTGCACAGAAATGCATGATCACGCACACGCATGTGCAAACGCACGGTGAAGATTGGCACCAGACGGACTATTTAAAAGGTGCCTCTGCCTGTGCTGAGTGCTGACTGGTCTTCAGCTGTTCCCCGTTTCCTGCTCGTTCCTGTGTGTGATTTCCTTGTTGCTGACCCAGCTTGTTCCTGACCTGACTCTGATTACTCTCCTGCTTGATACTTGTTCCTGACTTCGGCTCTGCTCCTGACTTTGGCTTGCTTATGATTTGGTACCTCGCTGTCCGCCCGTTGATGAACCCGGCTATTCCTATGATATTGCTCCTGTCTCCCATCCCAGCTTCCTGCTTTTCTCTGGTTCAAACCTGGAGACCTACCATACCAGCTCTGCACATCACTACTGATCCTGAATCGGAGGTTCATCAGTCTTCCAAGGTCTCCAACTGCAAGAGCTGCAAACAACATCTGCTGGCGCTCTTGTCCTCCTGGTCCCTAGACACCCTCTGTTCCACTTCCAGTGGGGTCAGGGCTAGTGACACAAGTGAGGCTGACCTCGTCATTTCCGTCTCCAATCATGTACGTGACACAGGCACTGTCTTACTCTCAGTTAGTGATGGGTCGAACACCCCCCCCCCCCTTCAGTTCGCAGTCAGGCATTTGAACCTAACAAAAGTTCAACCGTGAACTTCGAACAGGGACAATTCACTAAGCAGTATCTTACTGCATCTTCTGAGTGTGTGGTAAGATACCACACAGCTACTAAAAGACTGCATGAGTAGTAAAATATTCTTTAATGTTTCA